ATCTATCTATCTATCTATCTATCTATCTATCTATCTATCTATCTATCTATCTATCTATCTATCTATCTATCTATCTAGTAATAACACATTAATAATACAGTAATAGCGTTGTTTTAAATAGAATGTGCAGAATGTGCTCTTTCATTCATTATTAAAGTGACTTTGGACATCATACTGTAACAGGTTCATGCTCAGATCTGTTGTCTGTTGCAGGCCCTTCCTGCTGCTGCCCCCGTTGATGGAGTGGATACGGGTAGCGGTGGCCCACACCGAGCATCGGCGGAGCTTCTCGGTGGACAGCGACGACGTGAGGCAGGCGGCCCGCCTGCTGCTGCCCGGGGTGGATTGTGAGCCACGGCAAATAAAGTAAGAGCGTAGCAACCAACTGCAGTTTGCATTAAAGGCAGGGAAGCGACTTCTGTAACTTAAACAACTCAAGTGAAAAGGAGCTGTGACGTGACCAGTTCTGGCTTTTGAAACTTTGGCTTTATCGTGAGAGGCAAAAATTCAATTGGATTCAATAATGCTTTATTAATCCCCAAAGGAAAATTAAATTGAGGTTTTATGAGGAATTGATATAGATAATGACAACATTAAACAAGGGGATTAGAGTCTTGTTTTTGTTGCTTTCTCATCTAATATGTGAGATATTAAAACAAAGGAAATTCCCTGATGTTCCCTATCAGGGCTTCATCAGGCTTCCAAGCTTTAGAAGAAGTTTTACTTCAATTTTGTTCCTACCCTGTATCCTAAAGATATCTCCTCTGCCACTCATATTGTTTTACATCTTGTTTCAGGCATCTTGAGCTTTTCCAACAGGTTCGCCGCCCTCCCGTTGCAATGGTCATGCATCTCAGCTAATAAGACATTTAAACATAGATAGAAGTTCCTCCAACAGCACAGCATCCAAATCAGCACTGAAAAATGTTTTACAGAAAAAGTTTTCACAGAAAAAAAAGGCAGATGCAAAAAATTTATGAGAAAAACAAAATAATTCAAATGTTTGATATCCATGCTCCAGTTCAGGGATCTCCATATTTATCCTTCTTCAACATGGATCACATTAGGTAAATCGAGCAATCTGGAGGGGAAAAAAACTGCTGAAATGCTTTTTTTTTTACATTAGCGTTTAGCTCATTTCAGACCCACAGAGCCACTGAGATGACTACAGAAGTCTGGTTAGGCTGCAGTCATTAGACAGGGTGATTGGTACAAGGAAAATGTTTGCCTCTATTGATTGGACGGCGCTATCCAATAATTCTTGTCTCCTTTAATCGCGTTTTAGCTTCTGTTGTTACCTCAACTGCCCCTATTCTTTCCCCTTAATATACACACCATTACACAGGCCTCCTGCCCAGGTCTCTAGATGGTATCTCACCCACTAATTTTGAGTTGTTTCTTTTTTGTTAGCATGGGTAATTAATGACACGGCGGGGTGAGTGTAGCCAATTAGCAGCTCTTTACAAATGCCAAACATAATTGGCAGGTAGATTTAGGAAAACATGGCGAAGTGATGTCTCTGTGACCTTGTGGTAACTGAAGCTGCTGACAGCCTAAATGATGGGGTTTTTTTTTTGTTACATAAAGGCCACAGCAGGAGAAAAGCCACTGCAGAAAATAAAGATGATAAAAGCCAGCGTTGACAACTCAAACATTAGCGAATCGACTTCGAGTCCCGCTGCCCGATACTTAGAAAGCCGCGCTTCATTTCAGCTGAATTGTGCGAAGCGGGGCGACAATCACTTTCCCCCTCGGCATGCAGAGAGGACCAAGACGAGTGTCCGCTGATCTCAAAATCCATTCCTGAGATAAGTTCCCCGCTTAATCGGCGTAATGGATCTTCTGTCTCTCTCCGCAGAGCGGAGGACTGCTTCTGCGCCACCAGGAAGCTGGACGCCGCCTCCACGGAGGCCAAGTTCCTGCAGGATCTGGGCTTCAGGATGCTCAACTGCGGACGAACGGACCTGGTCAAGCAGGCCGTCAACCTGCTGGGGCCAGACGGCATAAACAGCATGAGCGAGCAGGTCAGAGGAATTAAGAAATCCAAACACCAACTCGGGCAGAGAGGAGGGTAACACACAATGGCTTATGTATTTCCTACTATTACCTGGCACATACACGGCTCCCTCTCAGTACTCCACTGTGCTCAATTCTGCCCTATTACAGCCTGTCTGTGTCACGTCTGGTTGAGAATGTGGGGAACACGCATTATTTCCAGCTGTATTTACTTCTTTTTGTTTGCCTGCACTGTGTGGCTGCAGACCCCAATCTGAATTCTCATTAAAAACATCCCACCGGTTCTTTTGAGAGTCGATCAGCGACACATAAAAAAAAAACGCTTCGTCCAAACTTCCATCCATCCGTTATCGTAACCGCTTATTCCCTAATGGGGTCGTAGGGGGACTGGAGCCTATCCCAGTGGTCAATGGGCGAAAGGCGGGGTACACCCTGGACGGTCCGCCAGTCCATCGCAGGGCCACACACAAGACATACAAGGACAAACAACCACTCACACTCACACTCACTCCTAAGGGCAATTTGGAATGTCCAATCAACCTAACATGCAGGTTTTTTGACGGTGGGAGTAAGCCGGAGAACCTTGTCCAAACATAATGGCATTTATAAAGGAAGGATGGTCGATGAGTATGAGATCATAAACGCTCATTGCAACTCAAACGTGATATTATCAGGAAATGGGGAGAGGTGGCATAAGTTAGCTTAAAACAAAACCGATCATTTCCCTGAGCTCGAGGCCCCCACGGTTGTCTTCCACGGGACCATTCCGGAAAAAAGCAAACGTGTTGTCGGCCATCTGAACATCCGTGTCTCCCTCCTGATCATTGCCTTATCCACTGCAAACTCTGAGAGCTGTGGTCGTCTTTGTAGATGAATACAGATGATGAGGATGTGCATTTTGGCATCTTAATTATGACCCATTCCTTTCTCTTTTTCTTTCTTCACCCATCCAATCATTTGCCATAATTTCTTAAGAGCAGATACCTGGTGACACACAAAAACATACTGAACAAGAAAAGCACTGAGTGCTTTATCCCAGTCGTAATACATGTATTTTACATTGAAAGAGTACGCAAGTGCAGGCAAAGACAAATGTGTAAAATGTTTTTGTAGAAAAACAGCTGCAGACTGTTTGCCAGGTTCTCGTTGTTTATCCCGAAGACGGAGAAGAGGTGTTGAAACTTGATACTGCAACTTTTTTTTCCTGGCAGGTTGGGTTGAGATCTCAGTCCCCCTTGATCCAAGTGTGAATGTCGTTTTGGAATTTCCCCCAACTGTGGGAATATCACTTTTGCTTCTAACTTGAAACTAATAAAGCAGACGATTTTCTACTTTCCAGTAATCAGAAGATATTAAATATACTCAAGAGTACCTAAAGCAGCTAAAATGTCCTTTCAAAGTTTTTTTTCTATGCTTTTCCTTTAACTCTTCCTCTTCCTGGAACTACTAGAGGTATTTGATACTGCAGAAAAACCATATAGGCTTATATATTCTGGTAGAACTGGCTGAAACCAAGCAAGAGACCAGAAAGCACTACAGGAGCCATAAAAGAAGATTGCCTTCGCATTTGACATCATGATGCCAATGATCCCAGTCTATCATCCCCCAGTCATAAGCTGATTAAATATATTGAACGTCTAGGAAATTGTCCAGGAAATATTTAAGAATGAATCGCCTGAGAGGGATATCAGTCTGGGGCACGGTGTGCAGCGGCGCGTTAGGGGCGAGTCGTAAAAGGCCTCAGCCGAACACAATGGTCCGGATCAGGCTTTATGATTGAGGCATATTTTATGGGCCCACGTTCAAAACACTCCTGCAAGTCTGATAAACGGCGGGGACCCTGTTGACTCATTCACAGTGGAGCCTTCTCTTTTTCTTTTTTCCTTTTTTTATAACAATCAGTAGAATAAGCTTCTGATTGCCCGGCCATAATGCATATGGGCATGCACCCCGTGGCACGGAGGAAATACAGCAGAGGACCTTTTGCTAGAAATTTAGGAATTTCACAGCCCACCTCAGCTTTCTCTCTGCCCTCGGGGGGGGGTCAAAATCTGTTGGAATTATCTTTAACGAGGACAAAAACAACAAGTTTACAAAGCACAAAAGACACATTTCGAGCTCGTCTTAACAGTGAAAACAACAAAAAAGCATTACAAATAGGCTTGAGGGTTAAATTCAGTGTTTGTTTGTTTTGGTTATATATCTTTATAATGGTGTCCATTAAGAATACGTTTTCATTCATTCAATAAAGTAACCATAACAATGTTTAAGCAGTACCTTGTTGGACAAGATCATTGTTTGTTTTTTTTCATCCAGACCAATTTATGGTACATTAAGTGTTTTTGAGGCACTGACTCATAGCTTGCAGAGGGCAGTTGTAGGTATTCATGTCATGCCATCTGATGTGGAATATGCTCCTGTTTTGACTAGCAGGCTGCTGGTCTGGGTTGCAGATCACAGGCCTCCTTTAAAAAGCCTTTTCAGTGTATTATTACTCTTTAATTCATTTTTAATCATGCTTTAATCACTCCCCTTTTTTCCCCCCTTTTATGTCTGCTTTCCTCAATATTCAACTACCGTTCAAAAATGTGCTTTTTAACTGTATTCCTCCTTGTAGTATTTTATGATTTCTTCTGTTTTGGATCTTTAAACCATTGTTCAGCCGCTATCAAAACCGTCAAGTAGACAACTGAGACAACTGATACTCCACTCCAGCACTGTTTAATCACCCTGGCGCGCTCGTGTTCTTCCGAACTGTCCATTTTGAAGTCGTAGTTATCCCCGAATCACTGACAGACTCGCAGATGGAGCTCTGCGGGCCAAAAGCCCTTCGGCGTAGTATTGACTTTCATGCAACGCTAAAAAAGCTTTCTGGGCTTTTTTAGCCTGTTTTGAATGCTGCCTGTCTTTCAAAAATGCTCATAGGTCCTTGAACTGCCCCTAAAGTTCCTGGAGTCTAAATGGCAGCCATTTTGGGTTGTGCACACCATTTGGCTGTGCGATCACTTTACATTTCTGTTTCCCTTTGACGGTATCTGTGCGGTTTCTCGTACAGACGGGTACAAAATCAGATACATGGTGCTTCTGTCTGACGGAGAGCAGCAGATAACAACTCGTCCCGTTTGTCCTCCCTTCCCCTCGCAGGGCATGACCCCTCTCATGTACGCCTGCGTGCGCGGGGACGAGGCCATGGTCCAGATGCTGCTGGACGCGGGCGCCGACATCAACAGCGAGGTCAGTGCTGAGCGCCGGACATACACCGATCCCACACCTTTTGTTCCACCTGAACGTGTTCACTCACTCACTTTTTGTTGTTGTTCTTTTTTTTTTCTTTCATTTCTGTGTTTTTTTATATGTACCAGTGTAAACTATGAACCCACTCCATGTTGCTCTCTCCCACCTTCTCTACTGGCACTATCTCACCCGCTCTCGGCATGCTCCCCCCCTTCTTTCCCGGGCAGTTCATTACACGAAGTGCACTGATAAGCAATAAACGATGGTTTGTTCTTCACTCCGATACGGAGGGAAAATCCATTTGCAGCCGCCTCATTCCACTTCTGGCTGCAGATAACCGGCCTTTGTTTGCGTGGTGGTGCATCGCCGATGCACTCCTTGCCGGTCAAAGCGGTGCAACTTTGTTAAGCAGAGGATGCATGGGCTCTTCTGCGCGTGTTTGCCTTTGGAATAACGAAGTCCCAGCGAGACTTGGCTATTTCAAATCCTGCTTTTGCCCAAATGGCTCCTCTTTCTTCCTCCATCTCATTGCTGATTGTTCTGTTGGTGCAGGGGCTGTTTCTTTATCACAGTGGCAGGATCTGCCGGGGACCATTCCAGGGGTTCACTGGGAAAGGAAATGTTGAAATGTAGGCTTTTGTTTGGCCAATTCCCAAATGGGAATTCCCAAATGGGTAAAAAAAAAAAAAAAGGACATGTGCTTGAGCATGCGGGCAGTTTTCCATAAAGCGGTTTCGGCTTTTGCAGAAAAATAAAGGGGTATGTTTGTTTGTTTTCTTATCTCCTCAAAGCAACAATACCTTGGTTGAACTGAATCAGCCGTGCACGGGATGAGTGACAGGAACCACGAGCACTCCGTACAGCAGAAAACGTTTTTGCTTTTGTTTAGTCGTACGGGGTTAGCAGTGGTGATGTTATGGTGGCCCAGGGCTGCAAAACACAACATTCCTGCACGAAAACAGGATTTTCCAGAAAAAACGTGATAAAATGCATAAACCTACACACAATGAGCATTATGCTTCATAAATCCCTGTATTTAAATGAAACCTTAAATCACGTTTGGGAAAAAAAAATAATGTTGTGGTATGTTTTCTAAAAAAATATATCTATATTTATAACTTCTAAAGTTTTTGGCTTGGTTGTGATTTGTGACATGTCTTCTCTATTTTGCCGGGTGTTGTTTACGTAAAATTGGTCAAAATCAATCAGTGCTTTTTGGAGTTATCAAAATGCAGCCGCCTCTATATGGTGGGCCATGTGTTTTCAGGCTAATTCATCTATTTTTGTGAAGTGATCATAACCAGCAAGAACCCACATGTACGACTTTCCCTATTGAGGGGAATGAGCTGAAAAGAATGAAAAGATTTGATGTGGGTGCGCTAATGAAAAATTATGTTTCAAATTCATCTGCACTGATTGATAGGCCTCAAAGCAGTAAGTAGCAACAAAACAAAAGCCTTTTGTAAATTTGGTGAAGTAAGCCTTTAAGGAAAGCAAATTAGGCTTGTTTTGCATGCCGCAGATGGAGCCAGTTTCATTCGACTTCCCCCTTTGTGCAGTCAGATATTCTCTCCGTTTCTGCAGAAGCTCCCTGTAATTACAAAGTAATTCATTATTCATCCATATGAGCACACAAACACCAACAGTCCCCGTGCTATTCGCCCTCCAAGCGCAAATGAAATGTGACATTATATTAAACATCTGCGTCCTCCGGGCATCGTTCCGACATCTTTTCTATTATTCACCGAGCAATAGAGCTGATTTTTTTTTTTTTTTTTTCAAAATCGCAGAGCGAACCCCAGACTCCTTCGTTTCACTTTGTTTGTGAGTCAGCTCTAAGCAGCCTCGTCAGCGCTGCCTTTTCCCCCGCTTTGGAAACGAATCTCCTCCGAAAAGGTCGAGCCCAGGCTTTTTAAGGACAGCGTAGGGGTCAGAAAAGCCCTGGCCCGGCTCCGGGTTTCGGCCTGAAGGATTGGGATGAGAGGAAGGACCGGAGCTGCTGAGGATTTTCCGGGATTCTCCCAGAGGAAAATCTCCCTCTGCCATCTTGCCCTCCTTCTGCTTCCGCCTCTCTCCCTGCATACTGCTTTCCCTCCCTCCCGCCCTGAGCTCTGAATGTTAATGGCTGTGTATCTCTCTCCCTGAACTTCACCTATGACTTCCCAGGTGCCAAGCACAGTAAACAAGCACCCCTCAGTTTATCCTGAAACGCGCCAGGGGACGCCACTCACTTTCGCCGTGTTACACGGACACGTCCCTGTCGTGCAGGTAGTGATGTTTATGACCTGTAACCATTAACCCCTGGCTCCTGCCACCCCCCCCCCCTCCCCCTTTGTACCAAACTGAGGATAATAATGCTGATGATTGCTGTAGCGCATCATTATAACAATGATGCCAAATGTCCTGTTTTGTTTTCTCCTTCCCGGTCCTATCTGTGCAGTCATTGTTAAGAAGAGAGGGCTTTTTTATTTATTTATTCATTTATTTATGTTATCTACGTATGCTTATCTATGTAAGATGTGACTCCACCCTCTGGTTTTCATTGTCACTAACCGCAGAAGTAGTGGGAAAATTCCAGAACCGAGCAAAACGGAGCAGCCGGCCTGACACACAGCCTCGGGGATGCCTAACGTCTCTTCATTTTTAATACACAATGAGTTTTGTTGCGGTGGTTAAACGCAAGTGTGAGCCGACACTGGTTGGAAGCCCGCTGTGCACCGTTTTTTTTTTTTTTTTTTCATTTAAATTTTTAATCTCCATCACCCCAAACAGAGTTTTGGTAATAAGAAAAGCAACCCCCCCGCCCCCAAGACAGATCCTAATGAGGAAATGAAGCCATGAGTGTGTTTAGTATTCCGAGCTCTCTAAATGAGGTGATTTAGGTTTCCAGCAGTTGAGGCTTCTCCTCTTGCCAAGTCTAAATGTAACATCCCATCTTCCCCTCGCCTGTTTTTCCCCTCCGTACTCCCCCCCCTCCTCCCCATCCCTCCCTCCTTCCCTCCCCACCTCCTGCCCCTCTCCCTGTGTCTCTGCCACAGTTGTTGCTGGATAATAGAGCAAATGTGGAGGGCGCCCTGCAGGATGGGGCGGAGAACTACACGGAGACGCCGCTTCAGCTCGCCGCGGCGGCAGGTAAACACACGCCAACAGCAAAGATTTGGATTACGGACGGGCCTGTTTACCTCCTGTGTTTTGATGCCTGCTTAACTCCTACTGAACCAGAAAGTATTGAGTTGATTAATCCCCTTAAAGCATTTAAACACTGTGCTCGAGACTGTAATAGAACAGGCATCAAACTAAGTGGTAATGATCAATTCTGACAGAGAAAGTATTTCTATCCTCTATGCGTGAAAGGGAAAGTTTGTAACTGTGAATATGATGTAAAGTAGATATGGAGTGTGGTTTCTAGTCCCTAATGTAAGCAAATGGTAAAGTTTGCTACAAATACTCCATATTAGTGTTTAAGTGAAATACTAAAGGATATAAATGTTCAAACACCACCAATAAATATGTATAACTGTGTTTGTTAACTTGGAAAGGAAATTAAAACACTGGTCTGACCTTCATTTTAAGTTCTAGCAGCTTAATTATCTTAGCATAAACACTATCAACAGTTAACCCAGCCCCAAAAAAACAAAAGAAAATCTCCAAAACTGCTGTCAAGATCAAGTCTAGCTGTCATTGTGAAGTTGCCGAGCCAAGAACTGAAACTTGAGGAAGTTGCAGGTGGCTTGGCATAGCCATGCTAACAGTTTCCATCCACGTTCAGTCTAAATGCTAAGCTAAATGTTAGCCACAGCCACAATTAAAACAGATGTCCCAATATCCATACACCAATCTGGAACAATTTCTTAAAGGTTTAACTTACAGCAATGTTTTCTGACTCGACATTGACTTTTTTAGAACACAAAATTCCGAACAGTTAACAATTAACTCTGGAATTCTCAGTCAGTGACCTTGGAGAAGGTACACAGGCACTAATGCTGCTGCTTAATCATAAGTTATTAAACCTCACAGCCACAGATAATGAACACATTTAACATCCTACTCATGAAATAATAAATAATGCAAATAAAGAGTAAAGAAAAACCCACAGTCCCAAAGCTAATTTTGCGAGTGAAAAGCAACAAGGGAAACACTTTGTAAGCTGAGGAATACATTAAGGCGTCTGTTTGAGACTTCCTGTTTTATTTTTTATGTTACGATAACATTACAAGATATAAAAGAAGCACAAAATGTGCCATAGACTTTTTTTAAAAAAGGCATGCTACTGTCAAAAGCTTTCTTTCATCCTTAGGAGATTGGATTTCCCTACCATCGTCAACCTTTATTCATATAAAGTAAAACATATGTTCAGAAATATGTTTAGTATTTGTTACATGCTTACAGCTACTCAATAAAAGAGACACATTTGTTTGCTTTATGTAAGAGAAGATGTTTGTAGAACATACTCTCGAAGAATGCAAGGAAATATTCACTTTCCGGAAGCTCCAGCAAGACATAAAAATAGTTATGGGGATGTTTTTCTATTTTTACCTCTGGGGAAGTCTTTCTGTGGAACATGGTCTCTAATGACCTCTGTCGTAGCTTTTGAAAAATGTGTTCCTGATATGAAGTTCAGCATTAGCATATATTTTAAATCATACTCTCCATTTTTCAGTTTTGACGTGTAATAAGTTGACTTTATCGCGCTCTCTCTTGAATATTTTATGATCTAACGATTTGCTAATCAATTCAGCGTGATTTAGATTCAACACATTATTCCGACTTTGAGTAAAGTTCCAGGGGGAAAATACAAGTGAATCTATAATGATGCATTTTCCATTTTTCATCAAGCAGTTTATAAACACTGCTTATGGAATTATTCCTTAGAATGAATGCAGATGAGCAACAACGGTAAAAAAGTCACGGAGAAATAAATACAGGACAGTCTTGAAGCCTCAAAAATAAATCTGTGGCGTTTTCGGTCATTGGTTCGTCTTCTGTTGTCCTTTCTTAGGGAACTTTGAGCTGGTCAGCTTGCTTTTGGAGAGAGGGGCCGACCCCATGATCGGGACCATGTGTCGAAACGGCATCTCCTCCACCCCGCTGGGGGACATGAACTCCTACAGCCTGGCAGCAGCACACGGCCATAGGTGACACACACGCACACAGACACACACAAGTAGCAGCCACCATAGATATATCCATTACCCCCGGTATTGATCCTTTCACACACCCCGCTCGGCTCGAGATGTCTCATTTTCCCCGTCGGGCAGCAGGCCACGAGGAGAGCCGCGTCCCGCTCATCGGCTCTTATGGCTTCAGCGGCGTCCAGTTAGTTAGAGTCCATTAACATTCAGGGCGGCGGGAAATGGAGCGCGGTGAGGAGAAACAACAGCACAAGGCCCGCGTTAACAAGACAATCTGTCGTGGGGTGTTGATGGGGCTGCAGTGTTTGCGTCGTGGACGGATGCCAGGCGCCGGTCTGTTGTAGTTATCACGTGTAGCGTTTGTTTGTATAGAGGAGGAAGACTTCTGGTAGGTAGACAAATGTGGACTATGTAGGGGAAATCAATATACGTATATTCAATGTATTCACTTCTCTCCAGTAACTTTCCAGCAGGGAATATTTTAAAGGTTCTTTTTCTTTCTCGTGGGTCTCAGAGAAGGTCTCCTTATATCTAGTCTCTTCATGTTTGGTCTTGAGGATTGTTTAATGCAGGTGCAGGATGGAAGAGTTTAGCTCTCATTTCAGACTCAGAGGGGTATAAAATGCACTGTAATTTTGTTTTGTTTTAGAAATATATTGAAACCACTTGTATGATCATGTTGGTTGCTCTCACTTCACAATTTCTCACAATTTTTTAAACACATTTCTATTTCTTACTTCCTCAAATGGACTCAGACATTTTCTCTAGAATAGAATTTCCAGAACAACTATTTACAGGTATTAATCCGTCTTAACAGGGCAAAAAGCACCTTCAGTCTCATTTTCAGAAAGTTTTTTCAGAAAGTTTTTGTTTAAATGTATTTTTTAAATGGCTGGTCCACTCGTCCAAATATCTTGAAAATCCTCATCATGCGTGGAATGAAGTTGATGAGACAAAAAAAATAGAAATAAATCAATTGTTCTTTCCGTCCATCCCTAATTTTTGCCCATGAGGACTCTTTTTGGTGTGGTTGGGTTTATTTATGAACTCAAGCAGAAAGGAGAAATGCTTTCTATTGTGACTCTGGTCTTGCAGGTATGATATCCAAGATAAGTTTTGAATAACCCGCTCCTTTAAAACAGGTTACAACCCTCAAGCTGCTTTTGTCTGCTCCCCTTGCTGAATCCTGTGTAAATCATTCCCCGTGTGGTGTGTTTAATCTCCTGTCTGTCACTGATGCCTGCTCTTTTCAGTCCTCCAGGGGGTCTTTGCTGCCACTCTGCCTGCCTTCAGTTTAGTTTTTTTTTAACACATGCACAATGAGGGACAGGGGACGATAATAATTACAGCATATATAGTATATTTATTGTAAAACCTTTGACTAAAGTTGAATGGATTGAAATAGCACAAAAAAACAAACAATTAAGTTGTTTTTCTTCGTTTGCATAATGATCTACAAATTTGTTGTGGATGAAAAGATTTAGGACCGCTCTCGGCCAGATGTCTATTCACTTGTAATTCATTAAAAATGCAATAACGACCAGAGTCGAAGCAAAAAAAGAAGAAAAATAAGCACCAAGATCTGGTTTTGAAAGAAACTTTGTTCGGTTTGTGGGAGTTCGGCTAAAACTAACACCCTGTAGAACATTTCAAGTTGCCATGTGTATATTTTTAATGTCAGATTTTATCTTCTTGCAGCATGATTCTAAAAACATCGTTTTGCCTTTAGGTTGAAATTATTGGCTTCTTTCATTTGTTTATTTGAATCTTGTGTCAGACTTTCCGCTAACTATTAAGGCTGATGGATGTGTAACCCTAACCCTAATACCTAATACCTGATATTTTCTTTTTTTTTAATGGACCTATGAGGGTCAGGTCAGAGTAAGCAGAGTATTGAACTTGTAAATTTTACTGGATTGGTTTTCATTGAAAAGCAAAAATGGAATGGAAAAAATGGAAAAATAAGTAACGGATTGCATGACATGCCTTTGCCCTCAGTGTGAAGTCCATAAATTAATTTGTTGTCCATTCCTCTGAAAAAAGCTGACCTGCATGAACGAAAACCTGACCTCCACCCCATCCATAAACTCCGGGGTTAATCGAACCTCAATTTGTTAGCCTCTCTGCATTTCCCTACATCAATCTAACACTACGCAAACGAGCTATGGAGTTTGATCAAATTGCTGCCAGCAGTTTTCTGAAAAAAGATTTGGAATATACCATCTTTAACACACTTTTTGCATAAATTAGATCGACTTTACCACTATTAGAGAACGCTCTGCTTTTCAGTGCCTCGCCCAAACAGCGTTGGGTACGCTGCTGCCCTTTGACTCTTAGGCAAGCTTCTCCTCACTGAAGCAGATGGTGCGATGATGCATTCAGGCTGCGAACACACTGTGTTTGCGTTGAAACTGGTACTTCTCGGCTGAGGCATCTGTTAGCACTGCTTGAATGTGTTGCAGGAAAATTGTGTTTTTGCAATGTCGGGTGACAGATTTGGACGCATTACAGCAGGCAGCGAGCAAAAGATTACTTTGAACTGAATAGATTTTTAACAAGGGAAAGAACATTGATCATTTTGTGTGCGATTAAACGACAAATGATTGTTTTTAGTAAATGTACACGCACTTATATAGCACTTTTCTTGTCGGGCTGAACACTCAAAGCACTTTACACTGCGTGTCATTCACCGCTCACACACGCATTCACACACTGGTTGCACCAGATGCAACCAGTAGGCAAGTTGAGGTTCAGAACCTTACCCAAGGACTCTTCGAAATGTGGTCTGGAGGCACAGGGAGTCAAACCACTGACCCTCCAATCAGTGGGCAACTGCTCTTTCCTTCTGAGCCACAGCCACCCAGATGTTTTAGTCTCATCCCAGCTGTGCAGGGGCCTTGTAGGCAAAGGTCCATCATTCAACCATTCATCCATTTCCTCTGGCCCACTTGTCCCAGCTCAGTCTCACATTGGGGCTGGAGTCATTCCCAGCAACCATTGGACGAGACAAGGGGGAGTTTCATCACGGCAAAAACACAAAAATGGTTAAAGTAAAGAGAAATTACAAGAATACAACGGGATTTAAGACCAAAAAGGAATCTTGCATAGTTTTTTTAAATGAAACCGAAAGACATTTTAGACCACTTGTTTGTAAAAAGGGTATTAGATTGTACTCTTTCATTAGATTTTTATGTCTTTTTGCATTCTCGCTATTTTCTTTTCCATCCTCAACATGATAGAATGGAATGGCACTCGTCTTTTCAGGAGCTTTTAGACCCTGTGATCATTTCTCTGCTCCCATCACCGACGCAATCGTGCATTTGAAACTAATTCACATCAGGATAATTTCAGTCACATTTGTTTATGGATAGGAAATAATGCAGCAGCGTTGAAACAGCAACAGCCAAAAAAAAAGGTGGCACATAAACACAAAAGCGGGTTTTAGAGAAGAGCAAAAACCAGTTTTGGCAGTGTGTCCTGCTATCTCCGTGTATTGGTGTATTGGTTCTTATTGGGTATTGTATGAAGCTTTTATATTTTAGCTGGGCTTTTGATTTGTCTGATAGCTGCTCTCCCTAACATCAGATGTTTTGTTCCATTTTCTTTGTGAGTTTTCAGCGTATTTCTCCATTTCTGATTGGGTTAAAGATAGTTTTTTGCCCTGCTGTTGAGGTAAGTCTTTGGGACCGGCCCTTCACCAGCCAATAGGCTTCAGTGAATGTGTGAAATGTTGAGTTACACTTGCAAGGACAAGAGGCAGAACGAAGGAAGGCTGAAAACTGAGGAAGTAATACGTGTGACTGTATGCATTCCGATGGGAAGGGGCTGCTGTAGCGGTCCTGTTTGTTTAGCACCAGAGTCCAGCTCTAACTATGATAAATCTGAACTGATCTGTCCTTCATGGTTTAAGATCATTAGTCTTTTTCATATGGAAAAGCAAAAGAAGAATTTTACTGCGAAGAATGGTGTTGTAACTATAGATATAAATGAATGTAAAGATGGCGCCATTGGTGGGATGGTGATCACTATCTATTGAATCATCATCATTCAGGAGGTACAGACCTTTAAAAAAAGTGGACCTTGTGCATGTCCCCAGTTTTATTCAGTTTGAGCTCAAATCTGAACTTGCTTTTCTGAAGTGAAAACATTCAAAACAATATTTAGACTTGTGTTGTTCTTCTATCTCTCGGTTTTCGGAAATGTATTTTGCGTTTGATCTCTGTATTCTTCGTTGTCTGTATTTAGTCTTTGTTTGTGTGTGTTTGTTTTCTAAAATGTTCTTTTGTAAAATGTCAAATTGAATCAGAACCTTTAGCCTGATCAACTGATTCAAAGCTTCAAAGTTATTTCACCCCATGCCAGCCTCACCTGTCACTCTCTTATCGCCCTGCTGTCTCTCTCCCCAACCCTTTCCCTCCAGGAATGTATTCCGGAAGCTCCTGTCCCACTCCGAGAAGGAGAAGGGGGACGTGCTGTCCCTGGAGGAGATTCTGGCCGAGGGCTCGGAGCCGGGGGAGAAGAGGCTGGCTCCCCAGGCCAACTGCGGAGGGACCCTGCGAACAGGAAAGGCCAGGCTGAGGGCCCTGAGAGAGGCCATGTACCATAGTGCAGAGCATGGCCATGTGGACATCACCATAGACATCCGCAGCTTAGGTCAGATTTACTAATACATGCTCCACTGGCTCACACCCGCCTCGCTCCGCCCAGCCTCCAGCTGTGCTGCAGATGTGCTCGTGCTGTTGCCTGTCCTGTCCCATCCTGTCCAGCCCCATGTCATCCCAGCCATGCTGTCCATCCATAAAACAGTCAGAGTGAGACCTTTATGTCTCAGGTGGAAATGGCGTGGGTGTAAAAGTGTGAACATGGTGTCCTCCAGCCGTATTCGTCCATGTAAATGTGGCCGCCGTCAACTCCCACCTCAACACAGGGCACCTCAATTGGCAAAACACTCGTAGAATTTCAGTTTGAGATGATATGCGGCTGATATTTTTTTAAGTTAGGTTAATTTAGTCTCTCTTGTTTTTAGAGTTAGCTGGTAGCAGTGAGAGTGAAACAGTCTCAAAATGTCACCTTTAACCTTATTTGTTTCATTTGAATCACTTTTTTGTTTTTATTCTAATTTACATATGAAACACAACATCACATTCAGATTGATAGGTGCTGGTTGACACAACTGTATTCCCCCGTTTCCCCTCCTCTTGTCTTTGTTTGTCGAAAATTTGAGGATGACAGAATTTTCGAGGATTCGCGCCACAGGGGTGTTTGAGGGTTTGTGATCCTCTGCAATTTTTTGGCATGAATAAAACAATATGAATCTATTTAAGACAACATTCATTAATTCATTACTACTATTATTAATAGTAGTAAAATAGAAATGAAATGACTTTCTTTAAGTGACTATAAGAATCCTGGTCCATCAGATTTGTGCAAGAATAAGGAAAATACCAAAGTTTTTAAGAAATCTTCAAACACCACCGGCAACATTTGGAAACAGCAGCTAAGATAATAAATATCAACTCAGCACAAGGGAGATTCTGTGATTCGACCTCTGTATCCAAACATATGGCAGCCAGTCAATCTTGTGATGATTAGATCACAAAGATTATTTATTCCGTTTGACTGTTTTCAAGTGTAAGAATCCAGATTTGAATGTCATCTATTGTTTGTTTGGGTATGTTTTGGGTTTTTTTTTAGCACAATATCAAGAAGGTTGGGACATTTTTTTGTTTTAAAGTTCTCATTTATTTTTTTCTCACAAAAAAATGACATTTGAATGAGCAGCAATTTTTAAAACTCCCTCTAAGTCATATTTAAGATGAAAAAACATCCTTTTTGACACATTTCATAGCTAAATATCCTCTGACATATTGGGATTTCCGCCGATCCTATTTTCCATCAGTCATAAACATGCAGAACATGACATTGGTCATTACTCTCAGAGGCTGGTTTCAGTCCTCCTGCTGGTCCGCCCCCCCCCCCCCCCCCCAAACCCCCCCCCCCCCACCCCCCCCCGCCACACGAAACATTGTCGGGTCTGTGGCCCACCACCCCCCCCCCCCCCCCCCCGGCGCCCGTGTGTTTACCTGTCCGTGCGGTGGTGTTCCCAGGCGTTCCCTGGACGCTGCACACCTGGCTGGAGGCCCTGCGCACCTGCTTCCTCCAGAACCGCCGGCCGCTGATCCAGGGCCTGCTCAAGGACTTCAGCTGCATCCAGGAGGACGAGTACACCGAGGAGCTGATCACCCACGGCCTGCCTCTCATGTTCCAGATCCTTCGCTCCAGCAAGGTCACTTTGGGGCTTGTTTCCCTGCCTCTTTTCATTTTTTTTATTTATTCATTATTTCATGGAATAAGATAAACCTGGTTATTTGGGTTTTCAATTATCCTCCGCTCCTCTCCTGGGGTGACATCAAGTCTCATGTTTGCATGTATTTAACTGCATCCCAAACCCCAATAACATAAATTAGAAATAATTATTTGTCCCAAATAAGTCGGCGAATACAGTGGCCGTTAAATTCTAATAATTCTAATAGTATGGGATGTTTTCTTTTCTCGCCGGTGTCGCTGTTTGTTTGCAGAACGAGGTGATAAGCCAGCAGCTGTCGGTCATTTTCACGCAGTGTTACGGGCCCTTCCCCATCCCTAAACTGACCGAGATCAAGAGGAAGCAGACCTCCCGTTTGGGTAAGACAGCGGCCGCTTAGCGTTTTCTCACCGAGTGAGCTCGTCTTGTTGAGAGAGGGGCTCTCCTTCGGCCGGATATCAGCGGGTCTAGCTTTGTTCCACTTGTTTTTCGTCAAGTTTACACCTTGTGTTCCCATCAGATCCTTGTGTGTGCTTTTAAATTATATATATATATATATATGTTTATATACAGAGCAATCGTTCAGATTCCCTCGGACCATGGTGTCATCATGTCTACTTTGTTTTGCGATTGTATTTCTGGATGTTGCCTTTTGCTGCATGTTATTTTTTCTTACTTTAATCACTTAGTTTATTCTTATTTTTAGTTTTTTAGTTTGTTTTTTCCTACTCTTTGCTTATCTGTTGTCTCCCACAACGTATAGCTCTGTGTGGCCAGTTCTACGTTTTCTCTTGGTTTGTTCGGTCGACTTAAGTCTTTTTGTTTCTACAGTACCTGGTTGGTAATGCACTTTCTTGGATTTATTCAATGGAAGAACTAGGTTTTCAAATACGTTGTCATTATGATTATATCTTGAATTGCTTGAGTTGCCCCTGATATGTGAGAAAGCGCAGAATCATGGGGTGTGTGGGTGGCAGCACCACCTACTGTTTCTTTAATAACAGGCTGAGAATAATGTCAGAAAATAGTGCCTCTTTGTTTTTGTTTCTGTTTTTATAAAAACTAGTGACGTTATCAATGAATTTGTGGATGCAGTTTACGGACTGAGTATCTCTTTAAATATGTAACAGAAAACACTGTCTTTGATTATTTGGCACGGCCAGCAGAGCCTTAAACCAAACCCACTGGTGACAATGACCAAACGCTAACCCTAACCCTCATCTCATTTTGTTCTATGTTCTGAAAGACAACTCTTTCTGTGTTATTTTTGATGTTCTGTTTTGGACGTTATTTTCTCAGACCCTCACTTCCTGAACAACAAGGAGATGTCAGACGTCACCTTCCTGGTGGAGGGGAAACCGTTTTATGCACACAAGGTTTTGCTGTTTACAGCTTCGCCGAGGTAAAACCACGCCCTCATTCAGATCTGTATCTCTGTTTGTTTACAAAAAAAACATCGTAACTGATCTTTTCTGCGTCATCTAGGTTCAAGTCCCTACTCCAGAACAGACCAGCAGCAGAAAACACCTGTATTGAGATCAGCCATGTCAAGTACAACATTTTCCATGTAAGACGTTTGGTCACAGGCTCAGTTCTCAGCCAGAACACACACTGTTCTTAGTATGTCTGGATGAATTTTCCTGCAACCAGTTGTGTTCCTTTACACATCTGAAACAACCAACATCTAATATTGAAAATCAGAGCGACAAAAAAGATAAAGCTTATGTTTTGGTATTCTCATTTGTACCTCAGAGCTCAAGCATGGTCTGAAAACTGTATAAAACTCCTGTAAGTGAGCTGTAGTGCTGTGGTAGTCACACCTCCGTTGTTTTTTGGTAGCATATAAAATTTGATCATTTGAATTGAGCTGGACATAAAGGGGGACATCGATAGTGGGGTGGTGACTTAACTTAACTTAAGCGGATACATCTGTACATCTGGCACCAGCTTAATCAGCTGACCACTCTCAGTTAGGAAAGAAAAGAAACAGAAAGGAACTGGATTTCAGACACAACAAATATATAAGGGTCCTTGGATTTTTGTCTGGCTGATTTTGTCTGTCTGTCTCTTTAAATCTGTAATACGGGCCTGATCTAATTTTGTGTTGTGTTCTGAAAGACAACATTTTTGGTGCTCCTGGTGTTTTTGGTATTATTTCTCAGACCTCCTCTTCTTAATTGGAAACCGGCCATGTTGAAACATCTAAGGTTGAAAACCAGTACAAAAACGTCCCTTTACTTCCGTCAGCAGAAGTATGCCGACTCTCTGGCCACCTGTTGTTTTTCGCATTACTTTCATTCTTCCTCATATAACATCTGTCAGACCTGCCGACAGAATGTTGATCAGAATACTATTATTCCGGTGACTCCAGCAGGTTTCCAAAAAGTAGTAGAATTGTTGAAATTACTGAAGGAGTTTAGACTTTCTATACTCTATGTATGTATGTATGTATGTATGTATGTATGTATGTATGTATGTAT